ACTGCGGGAAGTGTCAAAATTGTGTTGCACCCCGACAATCCCAAATCGCACAAGAGCCTCATTCCTGGAACTGCGCTGCCGCCAATCAGTGTGACCGTTGCGTCCTGACAGTCCTAATCCATGCCATAACATCACTTCAGTGACTACACCGTACGAGTCCTTGAAACTGTTGCAACTGTTCAAAACGAGTGTCTACGGCACTTGGGCGAGAACCACATTCTGAAAAGGAACCGCCCACCACCCGTGTAATTGTTGCAATTTTGTTAGACGAAAGTGCAAGGCGCTGAATCGAGAGCCACATGTTGAAATCTTGTTGTCCTCCATCCTGGGAGCGAGTACGCACTTTTACGCGATTGCTCTCAGCGCTAAGGCGAGAACCACATCTTGAAAACGGCCTGCACTCCATTTGCGACAGTGCTGCAAATTTTCACGGCGACTTTGCGAGGCGATAAGGTGGGAGCCACATGTTGAGCAAATACTTGCCCTCCATCCGTGGAATTGTTGCAATTGTCCAGCGTCAGGGTCACCAACGGTGAGGAAGTATCAGGCGAAACGCCTGGCCCACCCTACCAATCCGTCTGGGTATGAGAAGAAGGGGGGGGGGGAGAAGGAGGAGGAGGAGGAGGAGAAGGCGGAGGAAAGGATGAGAGATGATGATGTTGATGATAAGAAGGAGGAGGAGGAGGAGGAGGAGGAGGAGGAGGAGGAGGAGGAGGAGGAGGGGGGAAGGAAGGACTGGAGGGGCATGGAGAGGGGGAGGGGGAGGGAGGGGCGGTTTGTAGTGTAGCGCTGATGCCCTTCAGGGTCCGCATAACCCTGTAAAGTCGGATGGGGCGCAAGGGCTCCCCCACCCTTGGAACGGTGCCTCACGGTACAAGGGCCGTTGTAGGTACATATGTACGAGTGCCAACATATGACTAGTCAACCACCTCTACTGTGATATACATTGATCCTTTCTCAGTTTGTGCGCCTGAGAAGTTGGAGCGTATCTGCACACGCCGGAGGTGGTTGTTTCACAGGCTGTGTCTTCCTCACCTCCTCCCAGCTTGGAGGAGGCGGTGGAGTGAGGACGCCAAAGTAATGAGTGGGGGATACTCGTAGTACGCAGCGCTGAATGCGCGTGCGTGCACGTGCGGCAGGGTGCAGCCAGGGCATAGATGGATTGTTTGTGTGGTCGACATAACCCCAGGCCGCCTCTGTACAACGCCTTCGGTCTGACAGGGGGGCACCTCGGTGGTCTGTATCGCCATGCACCCTACAGGTGATAGTCATGTTGCATGTCCCACCGCCTGTGCAGAGGATGAGCTGCCAGCCCCCAGAATCGCGTTAGACGCTGGCTCCCCAACTACACTCGAGGCGATGCTTAAGAAAACCCAAGTTTTCGGCCAGAGTCTCGATTATTCTTAATGTTTCAATGTAAATCCCAAGATTTGAATATACATTCTGGGTTTTTATTAAAATTCTGAGACTATGAATTTCTTAACCCATGATTTCTAAAGCATTTCGCAGGGTGTATGTCGAAGGGCCCCAGGAACGCTCTCACGGGGCCGCAAGGGTGGGACGGCTCGATCCCCTGGGTGGGACACGTGGGCCCGCTCAACCGCGGGGAGGATCGCCGTCCTGCTGGTGCAGGGGGAAGCCATTTCCGCGGCAGGGCGGGGGAACCTGCCCCGCCGTGGGCGGTGACGCCCCCCGCGGGGTGCCAGGGGGACGACAAGGGCAAAGCACCGTCAGGATGGGCGAGGGTGAGCTGGGCGACTCACGACACTGCCGCCGATGTCGCCGCTGGCCCTGTGACAGGCTGGACCTGCTCCCCACAGTGGAGCCGGCCGTCCGCCCTGGGGAACATTTTTGGGGGGCCCGCGGGGGAAGGCACGGGCCTCGGTGGGCCACCGACGGCGGCCCGCAGGGGTCTCTGCGCCCGTTGCAGGCGGCTGCGTGTGAGACGGGCATGTTGCCTCACCTCCCAGACGCCAGCATGCACAGCAGCGGAGCCACGTGGCGAAGCGGGACAAACGCCCGCAATTCCGGCCCGTGTTTCGGCCTCGTTGGCATGACAATGTTTGGGTGTGCCGACTTATCCTGGTAACACAGGGATTGCGCCGAAGTTCTGAGTTTGGGAGTCAATTGTTCTGGGGCCGTCTGATCCAGTGGTGTGTCTCACGTTGGTTCCAGTGGCCCATCTTATGATGGTTCCGTTGAGCGTTGAATTTTCTCCGTTTGTAGACTACACAAATTGGCTGCAATGGGTGTGGCAGATTCAGCCCCGATGCTGCACACTACCGCAGGTACAAGACTGCGGGGGGCCAGCAGCGAGTGACGATGACAATGACAGGGCATTTTATAAACGGCGAGCCGTGTTGCAACAGACAAGTGGCATCAGCGAGGCAGCCGGCGTCAACAAAACTAGGCTCAAGACAGGGGCGGTCGCACTGCCTATGCGCCTAACGCCTGCGTAATCGGTGGCCGAGAGGGGGGATGTGAGCTACGCCTGGGCCAGTGCGGATGCCAGCAAGTCTTCTTCCAGGCACTGGGCAGGCCCCCTCTTAGAGTTGGGCTATTGGCGCGGGGGAATGTCTGCCACGAGTGTCTGGCGCCGGGCGAAGCGAACTTCAAGTTGCAGTTGGATGTCAGGCTCCGGAGGTTCCCCGATTCCGAATAAGCACAATACAAATTGTAAATGAATACCACCCTAAGTGGGTAGTTGGAAACGTGCAGAATGTGATTCCGAGGATTTTGCACCAGCTGGGTGATCGCTTCGTTGTGGCCGCTGCACGGGCTCACTGTTGGTGCCGGCTTTTGACTCCTTTGGCACAAGGCAAACATATTCGGCATACCCATTTGCTGTGCTCCCAAGTCCAAGTATGCTCGATTGGGGTCCCGCCCTGGCCCCCCGGGGAAGGGAGGGAGGAAAAGAGCTGAGGAGGGACACTTCCTCCCCCACATCCCCTTGAGGCCCCACGCAGGTGTCGAAACCAAAGAGGCGCTCAAAGAACCCCGAAACCTCGACCTCGCCTCCTCTGCCCTCCCTTCCCCGTCTGCCTTCTCATCCCGCGAGATCCGACGTTGCGCAACACATGAAACATCGCGAAAAATGAAGGCTACAATCCAACACACCCTCCTTCAGCTGTATTTTTCTGATTGGATCTATATGTGATGGTCTTGGGGCCCGCGACCAGGCGAAAACGCCCCGTATGCTACATATTTCGAGTGTGCGAGACGGGGGTCAATGCAAACGGGGGTCAGCAGAGCGCCGGCTCTTGCGGGGTCGTGCAAAGCCAGGGTTGCATTGGCATGGGCTAGCGCGCAGGATCCTGCAGGATCCTGCCGGATGTTCTAGGATCCTGCGAAGTCCGACTGGCTTGGGAGTGCATTGACCCGGGTCAGAAGATTCCCGAATATTGCAACGCTTGGACCTTAGGATCCGTCCTCTTCCTCCTCCTCCTCCTCCTCCTCCTCCTCCTGCCGGGCCTCATCGCCCCATGCAACCACCAAGTTAGGAGGAGGAGGAGTCTCACAAGTTTCGAGCAGGCGGACACGCGGCCACGCGGCCCCCGAGGGCCTCATCCTGCTCCTCCACTTCCTCCTCCTCCTCCTCCTCCTCCTCCTCCTCCTCGTATGCCCCCCCCGCCTCCCGTGGATGAAGGTGTTCAGGGTGAAGCGCACAACCCCCGCCGCCGATGGCGCGGCGGCGCGCTGAGGCCAGCCCGCGCGAGGGTAGCGGCGCGGCAGGGGCGCGGCGCCGAGGGCGAGCGCGCGGGACAGAGTTCCCGCAAACAGCCTCTCTTTTCCGTCTCCTCCTCCTCCGTCTCTTTCTTCTCTTCCTCCTCCTCCTCCTCCTCCTCCTCCTCCTCCTCCTCCTCCTCCTCTCCTCCTCCTCCTCCTCCTCCTCCTCCTCCTGTCCTCCTCCTCCTCCTCCTCCTCCTCCTCCTCTCCCTCCTGCTCCTCCTCCTCCTCCTCCTCCTCCTCCTCCTCCTCCTCCTCCTCCTGCTCCTCCTCCTCCTCCTCCTCCTCCTCCTCCTCCTCCTCCTCCTCCTCCTCCTCGTGTGCCCCCCCCCTCCCCCCCCACCCGGCCTCCCCACTCCCCTCGAGTGCCCCCCCCGCTCTTGCTGCGCAGGAGGAGGGCGGGCCCCCGCGGCTCTCCCCGCCTTCCGCCTTCCGCCGCCCTCCACGGCGCCTCGCGGCGGCGGCTGCGAGGGCTCCCCGGGCGGGGAGCGCCCTGGCTGGCGGGGGGTGCCAGAAACAGGGCGGGCGCGCGGCGGCGGCGACAACGCCCCCAGCGGCGACGACGACGCCCGGCGACGGTGGCGGTGGCGAGGAGGAGGAGGAGGAGGAGGAGGAGGAGGAGGAGGAGGAGGAGGAGGAGGAGGAGGAGGAGGGAGGAGGAGGAGGAGGAGGAGGAGGAGGAGGAGGAGAGGGAGGAGGAGGAGGAGGAGGAGGAGGAGGAGGAGGAGGAGGAGGAGGAGGAGGGAGGAGGAGGAGGAGGAGGAGGAGGAGGAGGAGAGGAGGAGGAGGAGGAGGAGGAGGGAGAGGAGGAGGAGGAGGAGGAGGAGGAGGAGGAGGAGGAGGAGGAGGAGGAGGAGGAGGAGGAGGAGGAGGAGGAGGAGGAGGAGGAGGAGGAGGAGGAGGAGGGGTGACGACGACGACGACGACGACGAGCGAGACGACCACTCTGGCCGTCCCGTGAAAGCCTCCCCCCCCAAACCACATGCTGCCAATGCAAAACTAGACTCGGATCGCGGTCCACCCCCGCATGGCCCTGTTTTATTTCCCCCCCGTGAGGCCATTGCTCCCTCCGCGGCCGCAGGGCCCAGACGATTGCCCGATCCGTGCGATTCAAAGCTCCAGTCGTGGCTCTCGGGGCCCTTTCTGAGGCCGTGGGCCATCAGACGTTGATCTGTGACGAAAGTCCGCCCCAGGCGAGAGATCGTAGCACGTGGGTCTCTCGGATGGAACAGCATTGCGTCCGAGGTCCGGGGGTCCCCTCCTCCCCTTCCCAGCACGCCGTCTACGAGAGGGGCGCCTTGGTCAAGAGGCCGCCCAACGACGACACGTGCGCGGACGCGTTCCCCTTCAAAACGCACGAGGAGCTCGTTCGGGAGCTTGGCCACGAGGACGCGATGGTGTATCAGTCGGAGGGCGTGCAGGTTCTTATCTCCTCGTTACTTTCCCTCGGCTACCTCCTCGTTTCTCCCGTCGCTCCCCATCATCCCTCCCTCCGCCTAACTGGCATTATCCTCCCTTTTCGTTATTGTAGGTTGTTCCATCCCCTTCGTATCCTGTCGTATCCCCACTTCCTCTCCACCCGCTCCACCTCCAGAAACCTCCAAGCCTCCACATACTTTGCGCCACCCGATAATCGAGTGCAAAGTGAACATGCGTTACCGAGGGTGGAGGAGGATAGGCGTGGAGGAGGGATGATAAGCAACGAGGTCTAGAATTAAACATATTTGTATTAGGAAGACGACGATGCGAGTAGCAAAGGTGTAAATATGAGCAAGTGCAGTAGATTTGATGGAGAAGTGGAGGATACTTGGAAGCATACGTGCAAGCAAGCGCAGAAGCATGATATATACGTATGGGTCAGAGGCTAACATGATATGCCCGGGCTCATACGCGTAGGACCACTCTCCGTGTACTGTGGCGGTTGGGGGAGGAGCCCCGTTCTCGGTGTGCGAAGGCCTCGCGTCCGGACGCTTATGTGCAGGAAAGCTGGATATACATGTCGCGGCCGGCCTGGGCGAGAGCTGGATGCACGTATGGCCTGATGTCCTTCCAGCGCCCAGCTCCTCTTATGCCCCCTGCCCGCTCCCCCCCCTCCCCTCCCACAACGTAACGCTCCCCCCCTCAGTGCGTCCCCGGCACCGCCGCAGTGCGTCGGGCTTCACAGTCTGGGGGGGCGGGGTGCTCCGTTACACCCCCTCCCGTCCCCCTCCCCCCCCTCCTCCCCCATACCGCCCGCTATGGCCGTGACTTAAAAAATGCGCTCCACCTGGGTTTCTCGATCGCGCCCGCTTTTCCCTCTAGAGAAGAATCGGGCACGGCGTCGGGTCCGGCCAGGTGCGCAAGGAGCGCGTCATCCCGCTGTCCGAGGCACCTCCGGGCGGGGGGCAGAGGGCATGAGCGGAGCTCGGCTCCCTGAGGCATCTTGCACCCACCCCTCCTTCTCGTCCTCGTCCCGCTCGTGATCGTCCTCTCCCTCTGTCCCCCTCTTCCTCCTCCTCTCTCCGTCTCCCCTCCCCTGTGTCCCCGCCCTTCCACATCCTTGCTCGTCCTCCTCACCCACCCCCGACGGGGCCAGCATCGAGTAGGGGAGGGGCAGGAGGGAAGCGAAGGCCAGTCGGAACGAGCCAGGGCACGGCAGAATTCAGAGGAGTTGGAGCAGTTTTCGTCTCCTCCTCTGTCCCTTCTGTCTTGTTGTTGGTCCTCAGCATCTTGATATCTGGATATTTGGCAGTTCTGGCGTATCAAGTTTCAGATTGCTCAGGGCAACATTCACCCCCCCCGCGCCGTCGTGCTATAAGATGCTGACGTGTGTGTGTGTGTGTGTGTGTGTGTGTGTGTGTGTGTGTGTGTGTGTGTGTGTGTCTGTGTTTGTGTGTATGCGTGTGTGGGTGCCCGTCCAGTCCCGGGCCCGGTCTTGCCGCCCGCCGCTGGCACCCCTCCCCGTGGCCCCTTGCGCAACCGCTCTGGATTGCGGCCACCGTTTGGTCACCGTCGCATCCACGTTCAGGTTACGTCTTCGCACTAGGCCCCGCCGCCCCCGGTTCGCTGACGCAGCAGCCGCCGCGCGCCGGTCGGTGGGGCCGGCCACGCCACATGCTCGGGAACGTCCTTGACCCCTGAGCCGCCCGCGTTTTCCTTATTTTCCTTTGGCCGCGTCCCTCTCCCCTCCTCCTCCTGCATGTTGGCACAATCCGGCCCAACGGTACCCCCGTTCATGCCTTTCATCGTCAGCGCAGTCACCCTCTGCCTAGCCACCGACGGAGAAAGTGTGTGTGTGTGTGTGTGTGCGTGCGTGTGTGTGTGTGTGTGTGTGCGTGCGTGCGTGCGTGCGTGCGTGCGTGCGTGCGTGCGTGCGTGCGTGCGTGCGTGCGTGCGTGCGCGCGTGCGCGCGCGCGTGCGGGTGTGCCTGTGTGTGTGTGCAGTTTGTGGTTATTCACGGCTTGCCTATATGCGTATTGTCGTTGTCGTGCCAGGCTAGGGTGTGTCTGAGCATACTTCGTTACCGTTCCCCCCCCCAGGCACAGCACAGCACAGCACCGAGGCGAGCAGCGTCTGTCCACCACAGGCAAAGCAGAGGCAGGTGGCGCTCCCCTTTGATCGGGGACACTTTTGCCACTGTATGCTCATCGAAAAAACTGCCCCGCACCAGAGGCAAATGCTGGGCACAGCAGAAACATTTTCACAGAACGAACAGCAACTAGGCATCCAGAGGCTCGGGCGCGGGGAGGGCGAAGCCGACGACAGCACAAACGTGGGATCCCAACCAGTATTCACTTCTCCCGAGGCGCTCGAGAATGAGTTGCCCATCCTTGGAGAGCCTGAGAGGTTTGCACTCCCCCGCCAGTGACACCACACGAGTGGAGGTGAATGAGGCTCAGTGGGCACAACAGTACACGACCTGACCGGCAAAACTGAAGACGCCCAGCCTGTGATGCTTGGACCCAGCGTCTCTCCAAGTGACATGAGACGGCTGGATCCTCTGGATTCGGATGAGCGGCTCGGACTTGACAAGAGTGAGGGGGGAGCCTGAACGCGCAGCCCGCTGTCTGTGCAGCGAGTCTGCGCCAGCAACGGACTCACCAGCTTTGGCAATCCATTTGGCAGTGAGCGACACGAGACACCTCTGAGTACGAAGTAACTTGAGCGCATGTGGAAGCGGGCTCTCGTCGTTAGCTCGGTTTCGAGCAGACTGGTCAGCAGCATCCTTTCCCCCCTTATGCCTCCTCATATGCACTCCCTTCTCCACCATAGCCTTTGTGACATGGGTTTTGACCTTCTTGAGCTCTGGGGGTACACCTCCCAAGTCATAAAGTTTATCCCAGACTTGCATCCGATGACACGCCCAAGTTACCGTTTCCCCCTCCCCCATTCCTCCTTCCATCTTGCCTTTACATCGTACTCGTTTGGATATAAGTTTACGTGGTCATTCGCGCGGAGCTTGGGCCCGGATAGTTGCATAATTATGCAGTTGTGCCAAGTGTTCCGAGACCCTGGTTGCGCGCAACGGCTTGCTTATGGCAGGTTGGCTTGCGCTGCTCCACGGGTTGTGGATTGCTTATCCGCCTCTCTCCCCGTCCCCCCTCTCCTTCTGGTCATCCTCCTCCTCCGTACCTCCCCCTGACTGTGGTGACGTTGACCTGGCTGGCCACTTTAGAGCACCTCCCTTGCGATGATCGCACCCTTGAGGGGCAGCGAATGGGGTGCGGTTAGCCCGGCCAGCCTAGAGCACTTCCGTTGCGATGGTAGCCCCCCTTGAGGGGCAGCGGGTCGTTCGGCGCCCGCTCCTGTCCCATCCGCCCAAAACAAAAACCCTTCCCTTCCTCCATTCTCCTTTCACGCTTCCCCCCCTTCTTCCGAGCCCTAGTGCCTTCAAATCCCAGAGCGAGGGGGGCGAATTGCCTTGCACTGTCCCTGGGGTGCATGGCTGGGGTGGGCCTCCGCAGTGAGGGCTGCCGAGTGCGTCGTCGTCGTCCCAGTCGTCCCGGCGTCCCGAAGCGCGACCCACCCAGGGGCCCGCCCCGCGGCCCTCGATCCGCCCCGCGCCCCGGCCTCGACGAGCCACCTCCGCGGCCCACCCGCATCCTGCTCCTCCTCCCTCCCTCCTCCCTCCTCCCTCCTCCCTCCTCCATCCTCCCTCCTCCCCCCTCCTCCTCCTCCCTCCTCCTCCTCCTCCCTCCTCCTCCTCCTCCTCCTCCTCCTCCTCCTCCTCCTCCTCCTCCTCCTCCTCCTCCTCCTCCGCGACCCGCAGCCCGCTCCGCAGTCCAGCTCTGCGACCCACCTGCGGCACACACCTTTCCGGAGGGGAAACAACACAGAGACAAGCAATCGTCGATCCCCGGGAGAACATGGGCAAACATATGGGAAGTGGAGGGGGAGACGAATACAGGAAAATAGGGGGATCCTGGGATTAGGGTCTATGTATTTGTGTGTGCCCCTGCGCACACACTTTGGAGCGGTCGGGGCCTCGCGCGCAGCGACGGGACTAAGAAGATATAGGAAACTATGGGAAGTGGGGGGAAGACAAAAGTCCAGAACATGTAGGAAAATGTGGGGAATCTTGTTATTGGTGTCTATTTATTTGTGTGTCCCAGGGCCCCTTCAAATACACACGCACATACACACACGCACATACTCACGTGCACACTTTTTGCGGTCGCGGCCTCACGCGCTGTGCAGAGGCGGAGAAAGTGCCCGAACGGGCGGGCACATACACACACATGTTTCTAAGCCAGCGGCGCAGAGGGTCCTCAAGCGCAAGCAGCAGATGGACGTGCTAGTTGCGACCGAGCATGGTCGGTAGCGCAGCGTACAAGCGTCGCACAGTGCAAAGTGCGCACACGCACACACAAACAAGCATACACACACACACCCTGACGTGTTGATAGCTAGATCTGTAACTATGTCCTCCACGGTCCTCCAATTGCGCCCATACCCCAAGACGCTTGCAGGAATGCAGTGCGCGAAGCTCTGTTGGATATCCTGATCGAACACAATCATAATCAAGCATGTGTCGACGAACAATGACACGGCTTAGTACATTGCGCGAGGCCACGACTCGATCGTCTTGTGAGCGCGACATGCGACAAGCGACTGTCTCCGCCTTCTGGCGGACATGAGCAAAGAGCTGCGCCAGCGTTCATCACGAGAGACAAAATCGATCCTGGAAGTCGTCGTTCGATTGGGACCGTGAAGCCGGGAACAACTGAGCCACTCTTGCCCACCGAGAATTGATTGCGCAACGTGTTCCCCACGCTAAACTCTAAACCCGCATCCACTGTTGTCGGGAAGGGGCGACTGCATCACGTAAGTCTTACTGAGTGTTGCTGCTGCTATGGGAGTTGCTGCCTCGAGTCCGCATTTTTGACCTCGGGGTGCGTAAGCATCGTTCTTCAGGTGAGTTTGATCGTCTGCATCGGCTCCGTGCCCCACCGCCCCGCCGCCTTGCGGCTAGTGTAGGTGATCTCGCCCCAAGGCGCCACCGCCCCGCCGAATGAGGTGTTTGCTGGTGTGGGTTAGTATCACCAACGGGGTCCAGGAGGGAACCTTTGGATCCAACGATGCTCAATATTATGATGTGGGTAGCTAAGGTGACAGAAAACCAACATGTCGATACATGCATATCAGGATCATCCGACGTCAATTCGTAGGAACCCTATCGGTGAAGACGTCCCCTGAGTTCACCTCACAGTTGCCCGGCAGCGCGTGCCGTTAGAGTGCCTGTGTACGGTGATAAGGTTTTTTTCTTGCAGTGCATGAGGTCCCCCGTGAGTGCACAGGCTTCATCTGGGTGTATGATAAGTACGCGCACGCCCGTGCAGGATATGTGTAGATAGACCTTCAGGTATCATAACACGATCGTCCCGCAGTCCAGTTCCTCAGTATCAGGCTCGCTGTTGAACACCACGATTCCTGACATCGTCTCTGCCGTTCCCACCGTCAAACATGCATAGCATTACTGACCCGAACACATATATAATAACTATCTCATCCGCACGTCTTCATGTGACGCCAACGTCGTTTCGCACGACCCATCATGGCCATCCATCTGACCACCTGGACAGTAGGATTGAAACAGCACAGTGTTTGGGGGATCCTTGCCCTCGGCGGGGCAGGAACGCGGGTCTCCACAATTGATGGGCACACCAGCTAGTTTTGCAGGAGCAACAGGGACGCGAGAGGCCGATTGTACATTCAAAATCTCTGTGATTTCTCTCGCGCGCCCTTGGCTTCCAACCATGGCTCGTGGCTGGAATGGTGCCGACAGACCTTGGGGTTGACCCCTGCTTGTCAGAGCCACTTGCCAACCGATGTGTCCAGACCCGTGTTTTTCACCACACGGGTTTTGTCACGTTCGTTGACGGTGGTTCGATACGCATTCCCAAATTGTTTTGTTAAATTCAATGGTTGCCATTTCGGTAAGATTGGAGAGCTCCAATTGTTTTAGGCATCCCCCCTCGAAACGAACTAGTTCTTTATGGTTTCGGGTACACTCATTGTCCTGTCCGATCGCCGAAACACTTGATACCATGCGGGACGTTCGGGGCGAAGTTGCGTAACCACATGATGCCGTAATCACGTTCGGGCCCGCGGGTTTACTCAGCAGAGTTGGCCGCAAGCATGGGGTTACTCGGAGGACGACGTCGGAGTGTTTGTACGCGTATGCGTATTGTGCCTCGTGCCCGTAGGCGGTCATGAACGTGTGGTGAAAGTATGCGTAGGTGCCAACACGCATATGTTTGACCCCTGCCGTTTCAAGTGTGTGTGTGTGTGCATACACGTGCCCATCTGGCATGTTTTGGCGCAGTGCAACAAGCCATGGGCTCAGAAGCAGCGAGAAACCTTGGCTGAACACGTTGAGCGGGGCACACGAAAGGCCATTATTCGAGGCTTTATGGAGAAAGACGTTGTGCATTTCCCCAGGGCAGCCGTCCAAAGTCCTTCGCCGAGAGCGTCGAAGGGCTAGGCACTCCTTCTGCCCGACCTGTCTCTGGAACAGCCTGCCGAGATGGGTCTGTGTACAACGGTCTCGATGCTCCAGAATCTCTGGGGGGGAAACTTCGAGCGGGCGTCGACGTGCCGCTCGTCCTCGGCGTCGTCGAGGGGGCCGGGGGCTAAGCTCCTCCCACGCAGCTGCATGGTGGCGCCGCTCACGAGGAAAACTTGTGGGTGCTGCTAGACTGGTGGCCTTGTAGCCAGCAGAGGGTACTTGGAGCATTCTCAGCGTTGAAGGTGTCCTCGCTTGGCATTCTATCAGTTGCGTGAGGCGCCATGTTGAATAACCCGACCTCCAAGCAGGCACCGATAGCGATGCTGGTCAGGGTGTGTGTTGCCCGCTTCGAGCACATTCGATTCCTCCGAGGTGTTCCCGAACACGGTCGATCATTCCTGACTTGATTGTGTATGTCCGAGAGACTATTCTGTGACCGATCTGCCGTTCTTGGATCCAACTTGGTGCAGACAATTCGCATCTTTAGTCTCCTGCAGGCTGGCACCAACACCACACCGCAGTTGAAACATCAAACACTTCTGGCGCCACACACCAGTTGTGGTACCAGAGGTAGTTGGTCACTCTATCCACCATTGTCAGCTGCTTCCGAGAAATATGGCCAGCAGCATGACCAGACAGGCGTTCTTTCTTTCGTTATGTGCAAGTGGGACAAGTGGGATGTGTGTGTGTGTGTGTCGAGACAGTCCTGCAGCACGTTCTCCCCCTGATGTTGGAGAGTGACTGGTCTGGACACCAGAGACGAAGCTTGTAATGATAAAAAGCATGAGCCAGATGCAGGTGGGCGAAGACTTCGCATTCGAATGTCTGAAACTGAAATAATCCACGGAATGAATCGAACAAGCGTTTGTTGGGGGTGTCCCATTCCATTCCGAGGCGAACACACTCTGCAGTGTTGATAGCTAGATCTTTGAATATGTCGTCGAAGGTCCTCCACTTGTGCCCAGCTCCCAGGACTCCCGCAGGAATGCAGTGAGCGAAGCTCTAGTGGATATTCTTCTCGAACGCAATGTAAGTACACTGCTCGAGGCCACCACTTGCTCGTCCCTTAAGCGTGGCGTGCAAACCGAAATGGTCTTTACCTTCTGGCGGACACGATCAAAGAAGAGACCTGTGGCTGCGATGCTTGCGTCGGCGGTAGACGTCTGCCTCGCGGGCAAGGCAACACACTGGACCGTCACACGCACTCAAAACACACGCACACACGCGCACACACGCGTTTTTGACGTCGCGGCCACGCTCGCGGCGGAGTCAGGCAGACCGATTTGGGGAGAGCCGAGGAAGCATATACATACACATACACATATATACATGTGCAGAACATATATATATACACATATATGTATATAAATGTGTATATATACATGTACATACACACCTACATACATATGTGTATCTCTAGATATATGTGCATACGCATATACATTTTATATATACATATATAAATGCATATGTACATCCCCTCTCCACATGTATTTTGCACAGAATTCGCGCCAGTTGCTGGCAGTTTAGGAGGATACCTTTGTTCGTCTTCGCCCGCGTGTCCCGTCGACAACCTTTTGCGACCAATCCACGCTGTTTTGCCGAAGTAGGCGCCAGCAGCGGCCTGCTTCACACCGGGTTTGGAGAGCATCATTGTTCGTTGGGGTCGAGGGCGAGCCGCGAGGTGGGTTGCGGACGGGTGGCGGGTCGGTCCGCGGGCATGTCGTGGGTCGGATCGCGGGGTGACGACGACATACAGGAGAGAAAAATCATACAGACACAATGACTCGTCCATTCCCCAGACAATATGGGACAATATGGGAAGACAATATGGGTAGATATGAGAAATATGGGGAATCCTGTTAGTTGTGTCTATTTATTTGTGTGCCCCAGGGCCCCTTCAGACAAGACTGACAATCCGTATCTCGGCCCCGCTTCAGCCATGCACATCCATCTAGACATTGTAAGACCGTTCGCCTTCCTCACTCTAATAGTTGGCGTCCAGGTCCCCACCCCCAGGCCAGCACGGTTGTGCAAGACGCTCTCCTTTTCTTTCCATGGGGTTTGCCCGATCGCACAACTGTTTCCTACACGGCCCAGGAGGGCCTCGGAAAAGGATTCAGGGGGATCCCAATAGGGCTGTGGAGGCGTCACAGGCAGTTCAAGACGGCCTAGTGTTCCCAGAAGGACCCGAAAGTGCCCCCCCATCCCCTTCCCCCATCCTTGTCCGACGTTTTTTAGTTCTGCCGAGGAGGACCGATATGCCAGGTCTTAGGAGGCACGGGGCCCTGGCCCCAGTCACCGCCCACTAAACCTCCCCGACCCAACCCGAAGGCCCCGATTTGCCATCCATTTCCAGTGAGTGGGGGCCGGGGAACACTGAAAAATCAAATCTGGAATCCGTAACCCCCCTCCTAACCCGAAATTGGGGTCTTCGGGCTGGGTTGGGGCGGCCCGGTAGGTAGTCACCCAGGGTTCGAAGAGTCATATGCACAAATCAGGAGGGGAAAAAACACACAGACACAATTCATCGTCGATCCCCCGGAAAATATGGGAAAATATGGGAAGTGGGGTGGAAGACAAAAACCAAGAAAATATGTGAAAATATGGGGAACCGATTTGTTTGTGTGTATTTAATTGTGTGTCCCAGGTCCCAGGGCCCCTTCAACGAGCACAAACTCTCGAGTTCCGCCGGGCTCTCTTGGATCGGCGCTGGACCCCCCTCCTCTTGGCGCGCGAAGCGCGCCAGGGGGGAGGCGCCGCAGGCGCCGCCAGGGGTCTCTGGCGCAGATCCGAGAGATCTGCGCGGAGTTCCAGAAGTTCCGGCTTATGTTTCGAGCAGGGGATCGACTATACCAACGCATCCCATAATTATTTTTCTCGCCGAAGCCATGAACTCAAAGCGTTCGTATAACGTATAATGTTCGTAGAACGATCGTCCCACGCTTGATCCATGGATTCGACCAGGAAGTCAAGCGTAGGGTCCATCAGTTCTGTTGCCGAATCCCTACTTGATTTGTGCTGTTTCTCTATCCACATCCGCTGCCTCCAGGGGTCATGGGACGACATTCTAGCAGATGGGGTCGGAGCAGATGGGGTCAGCGGATCGCGCCGCATCGCCGATGCATCGGAGATGCGGGTCGATGTGGACCCCGATTTTCTCCACGCCGCCATCGCCGATGCATCGCCGATGCGTGGGCGATGCATTGGCGATGCGGCGCGACCCTCTGACGCCATCCACCCGGACCCCATCTGGACGGCGTCTAGACATCGATCCCTGAAGGCAGTGGTGATGTCATCCCGCGGCAGGTCCAGGCGGCGTTCGCGCGCGGGGAGGTTGCGCGCGTGGACGCCACGCAGCTGCTGCCTGGCTGGCTGCTCAACGCTTCGCTGCCGGACCTGGCGGCGAGGTACCCGACCGCGGCGAAGACAGGCGGCGCTTTTCGGTCTTCGGCCCCCGTCATCAGAGGCCTCCTAGATGGGGTCCGAGTAGATGGGGTCGGAGGATCGCGCCGCATCACCGATGCATCGGCGATACATCGAGGATGCATCGGTGCTAGTGGCGTGGAGAAATGCTAACCCCACGTCAATCCGCATCGTCGATGCATCGGCGGGGCGGCGAGATCCTTCGACCCCATCTACTCGGACCCCATCTGGGAGGCCTAGAGTCCTGGAGGCATGCCCGCGTCGTGTTCACGAGGGGGGGCTCTTGACGGCGGTCGGCCTCCAGAGAGGCCCTCGTGAAGGTCTCCGGGGGTCCCCCGCGTGCCGCCAGAGGTTCTTAGAGGCCTCCGCGGGACCCCGGAGAACTCGTCGGCGAAGGCAGTCGGGCGTAGCGTAATGGGAGGGCGCTGAATGTCAGAGGAGGAAGGGGCACCCATACCGCTACCCTTCGGCCGTTTTCCTTTTTTTCCGGGCCTTTGGGGCGGCCCTCGTCGCCACCGCTGGATTCGCCTCGAAGTCCTGGTCAAAGCGCACCCTGGGAGAGGTCCAGGGAGAAGCGGTATCGGCACCCCTTTTGGTGTCTCGATGGGGCCTTGCAAGGGCCCAAAAGAGGCACGAACGGTGCACGTTCCCCCCCTCACCTAGGGTGCAACTCCTGGGAGTTTAATTCTTTATCGGCGCTGGTATGTTCGCGGTCGATACCTAGTTGAATCTCGATCAAGCCAGCTTCATGCCGCTCAATCCTTTTTACCTAACAGCGAAGACTGATAGGTTTCTAATGGGGTCAAAAGAGAGCATCTGATGACTCCCCAGGGGGGTCTGGGCGGGAGCCGGACAGGCGAGGACCGGGCTCGTTTTAAGCAAACAGTCACACACTTCGTGCTCTTCGACCTCCCAGAACTCCATTCCCGGGCCACATTTTGGATGCCCGGAGCCAACTGTAGGCCACTTGGTGCTCTTCGACTTCCCAGAACTCCATTCCCGGGCCACATTTTGGATGCCCGGAGCCAACTGTAGGCCACTTCGTGCTCTTCGACTTCCCAGAACTCCATTCCCGGGCCACATTTTGGATGCCCGGAGCCAATTGTAGGCCACTTCGTGCTCTTGGACTTCCCAGAACACCATTCCCGGGCCACATTTTGAATGCCCGGAGCCAACCGTAGGCCACTTCGTGCTCTTGGACTTCCCAGAACATCACTCCCGGGCCACATTTTGAATGCCCGGAGCCAACTGTACGCCACTTCGTGTTCTTCCACTTCCCAGACTTCAAGACTCATCATCTGCTGCTGCTGCTGTTGCTGCTGCTAGTGTAGCTATTGCTACTGCAACTACTGGCAGTGCCACTGCGACTGCCGCTGATGTTGCCACTGCGACTGCCACTGCGAATCCGAATGCGACTGCGAGAACACCAGAATTCTACAACAGCACTCTTACATGAATACCACAGGCAATGTTTCCAGCTATGCTTCTACACATCGCTGTTAGGTTGCTTTGCCGGGATAGTTAAGCCCGCCTGATTTGGCTTTGTCCCGGGCTTCATCCAGCCTGGTCTTGTGACGTGGCCCGCTCGTCGGGCTCCATCGCCCCTCCGTCTTTGCAGTTGTTGTGCTATGGTGCGATCCATGCGCGCGGCGCTCATAAATGTGGGCCATGGTCCGCCCTCTATCGGCGCAGCTGTTGGATATGCTTCAAGATGCATCTCTGGGCGCCAAGGCGAGAGCAGCGATGTCGAAATTGGACCGTTATTTGTACCGATTCCAGTTGTTCAGACGGTCGTTCTTGACCTTGAGGCGAGAGCTGCATTTTGAAAGCCAGGCGCCCTCCACCGCCCATGCGTAGAGCTGATGGCAACTTCAAGTGTTAGGACCATAATCTGCGTTTAACTATCAGGCGACGTGCCATGACGCCCCGTGATCTATCTACCGACACGCCTGGTGGTGCGGGAGGAATAATTATTTAATATCGAGGACGCCTACGACGAATCACCGCCGCTCCCTGCCTTTTGTAAAGGCCCATGCGGCCAGACGTTGGGCCGACGTCTGGCGACGCTCTTCGACTATGTGTTGCCCCCAGCCGTTACGAACCCCCTTGGGAACATTTTGGAGAGGACGAGGAAGGACGTGGAGCAGAGGGACGAGAGGGAGGCGCAGGAGGAGGAGGAAGAGGAGAAGGAGGAGGAGGAAGAAGAGGATGCTTCTTCAGCCCCTCTGGGGGCTTCCTGGGGGCCTCTGAGGGGCCTTGGAGGGGCCTCCTGGGGCCTCATGGGGGCCTCTTGGGGGCCTCTGGGAGCCTCTTGGGGGCCTCTGGAGGCTCTGAGGGACCTTGGCGCCTCGGAAGGCTGTCGTGGGACCCTCTCGGGGCAGTCGTGTGTCCCTCTTTGGGCGCTTTGGGGCCGTCTTGGAGGTCCTGCGGGACCTCTTGGGGCCGCCTCGGGGGCCTCGTTGGCCACCTTGAGGCTCTCTTGGGCCGCCTTGGGAGCCTCTTGGGAGCCCCTCGGGGTCTTGGGGCGATCGTGAGGGCATGTGGGGCCGTCTTGGCGCGTCGCAGGCCGACACTGCGAGAACTCCAAGATCGCTGAAGCACTCAACGGCAATCAATGATGTTTGGGACTCTTTGAGGTCCTCATGAGGCCCTCTTGGGGCTTATTGGGTGCCTATGGGGCCGTCTTGGAGTCATCTTGGGGCCATCGTGGGCTCTCTTGGGGCCATCTTGGCCGTCCTGGAGGCGACTTGGGACCGTCCAGGAGGTCATCTAAGCGGTCTTGGAAGCCGTCTTGGGCGTTGTTAGGACTATCTTGGAGCCATTTTTGGCGAGAAAGCCGAAGGAGAATCCTTTGGACAAGGATTCACACCAAGCTGCAATTTGGCACGTCGTGCACCCCTATGGCAAGCCAACAGTGCGCGGCGGCTCCAGTTGCCTTTGGCCCTTCCCACCTCCGTGCCTGCGTCCTGGATCAGAGTCCTCCTGGATGCCCCTTTGGGTTTCTTTAGGTGTGTCAAGGGGGCATCGTGGAGGCCTGCTGGGCAGTGGTCGCCGGGGCGATGCTTTGGGCACCTGGGACGGTATCAAGACCGACCAGGCGAGAATGCCACCACTGCACCCCCGTCCCAGTTCTGCCAGTGAGTTTGTCCTACTGTGCTTGCCCCACGTGGCTTCCAAGACGGCAGCAGACGCCCCAAGGGAGCCCCAGAACTGGCCCTTGGGACCACGTTCGGGCATTCTGGAAGCTACGCTCCCTGGGTCTCGGGGCAAGTTGTGCGACGAATGCCAAGAGCGCCCCAGAGCGCCCTGGAATCTGGGCTTTGGGGCTGTCAAGTAGCATTTGCAATCATCAATGCAGCGGCCCTCATCGCATGCTGTCACCGCACATGTCTCGGGGCAACATTGGGTGCGTCTTGGACCGTCTTGGACTCTCTGCCGACCGAAGAGGCGGGCATGCGTTGACAATGGAAACGCGTCCCCAAAGGCCTTCGAGACGGAACAAGTTGCCCCCAAGAGGGTTCCAGGACACCCGCTCGGGGCCACCGTAGCACGTGTTGAAGTTTGGCCGTCGTCGGTCCTCTCAGGCTCATAGAAGACCATCGACAAGGCCTTGAAGCCTGGAGGGGGATGTGGCCGGTGGGGTCGACGGCCCTGTCAACGTGTTACAATGTTGTAGCACATCTTATGTTCCGAGCGATCCCCACCGAAATTTTCAGCCCTTGTCCTCCTCCTCCTCCTTCTCCTCCTGCTCCTCTCTTCCCTTACTCCCTCCTTCCTCCTCCTCCTCCTCCTCCTCCTCCCTCCTCCTCGTCCCTCCTGTGTTCTGTCACGCAGTGCTGCCAGGCCAGACTTGGCTGTTCCAGTGTAGGCAGGATTTGGATTCGTCTGTGCAGGGCTGAGTCGATAGTGATCCACCCTGCCAAGCCAGGCTTGACTGCGGATTATGTCATCATGCTGTTCCCTCGTGTTGCGTTCGGTCATGCCAGGCTTTGGTATGCGTTGTTCCGCCGTTCAGTTCTGTCATACTCGTCGAAGGCGCGGATGACGGGAAACTCGGGGGATGCCTTGTGGACCTGAGGATCTGGCGGCCGCGGTATGCAGGGTGGGCCAGTCGGGAGGTCTGTTCTTGAAATCTAACGACCCCAACCTGTCGAGTGGGAAACAATCTTTTGCGACTCACAGATGTGCTGGAGGCACGGCAGCGGCTATCGAGGGTCCTATGGGAATTTGATGACCTTCCATTCAGTGCCTACGGTGCGGTGCCGGATTTGAAGAATGAGCTGTGAGGATTGGAGGGATGTGGGCGCGAGGGAGGTATATGTTCCGCAGGAATGAATGAGATATGTCAGGAGGAAGAGGAGAGGGGCCGAGGTGGACATGGGCGGAAGGGAAGGGGGAATGGAGACGAGGAACACGGAATATTGAGCGTGAGGAGGATTAAGAGGAAGATGAGGGATGGAGCGCAAGAGGAGAGGAGGAGTGGGAGGACGAGCAACAGGAGACTAATGAGGAGGAGGAAAAGGAAGAGGAGGAGGAGGAGAAGGAGGAGGAGGAGGAGGAGGTCTAGAACAATAACATAATATGAGAACAAAGCGGGAGGAGGACGGAGAGGGGAGGGAGGAGGGAGGCGACGGATCAGCAGTGGAAGCAGGCAGAGGGGGGCGAGGGCGAGAGCGAGGACGCGGATGACGAGGAGGCCAGGGCAAGACAAGCGCGACCAGCACCGTGCAACGGTGCCTACATAGACGACGAGCCCCTCCACCACAGGGAGCCTGGGCGCCTGTGGTTTCACTACGGGCGCTCGCAGGACTCCGGCGCCATCCCATTTTCTCTCTCTCTCTCTCTCTCCCCACCTCGGCCTCCTCAGCATTGCGTTCGCCATCGTCTGCGTGCTCGTCCCCGTCGCCCTGATCTCTTCGTCCGTCCTCCCCCCCTCTGCTCCTCCATCCTGCTCCTGCTGACCCCTCCTCTTCCACTACCCCCTTCCTTGACGTGGGAGGAGGGAGGGTTGGAGCGGAGGGGGGAGGGAGGGACGAGCGGGATGGTGGAGATGTGCGGGGTGTACCGAGAGTTCACCTCCACCCCCTCCACCTTGTGTCCCCTGCTCACCCCATGGCTCCCCTCGCTCCCCCCGGCCCTGCTCCCTCTCCGCCTCCTTTGCCTGCCCTCGTGCGGCGAGGGTCCCCCGAGGACTGCCACAGCGCGCTGGAGGACTTCACGAACCAGTTCCCCGTCTGGGGGCCCGACTCGCCAGAGGTGCAGATGGGCCTCAGGGTGCTCCTCCCGTCCTTGATCCCTCGAGAGCGCGGGCCTTAGCCCACCCTGCTCCCTCCGGTGGGCTGGGTTGCGGAACTCCTCTCGGCTCCCCTGCCGATTCGGCCGTCCGGCGCGACTTTGGCCGCGTATCGCTTGCCATCGAGTCGGAGGATCTAGGTCCAGACTCATAGAGGATGAACGAACCCCAAACCCTAATAACATAAGTGATGATGTGGCCTCACTGAGGTCCCCGTCTTTGCATTAGGGATTATGTATCTGGGCGGTTTGGTTTCATACATCTGCAGACAAGACACCCTATCCCTAATGTTTTGGCCTCCTAACTTAGGTCGCCTCCCAAAGAATTGGGGGTCCGCAATTGGGCGTCGCGCAATGGGGGTGCGATGCATGGGGGGGCAGCGAGGGCTGCAGAAAGGGGCCCTTTAGGACCCCTGAAGGGGCCCGGCCCAAAAAGGGGGCCTCTAGGGCCAGAGGCGTGCACCTGTCTTCCCCCCCTCCCGCCCCCCCATTAAGCGTTGCCCAATCTCTGTCAGGAGGGGAAAAAAACACACAGACACAATTAATCGTCGATTCCCCAGAAAATATGGGAAAGTATGGAAAATGGGGGGGAAGACAAAAACCCAGAAAATATGGGAAAATATGGGGAATCATTGTATTTGTGTGGATTTATTTGTGCGTCCTGGGGCCCCTTCACTCTGACGTCTGCCACTGTGCGGCAAGATCCACTGCGAGATGCGCCGGGCGGGGCCCGGACAGGGCTTGAGTCGCCCCAGAGCGTTGCGGAACGCTCTGAGAAGGCCGCGGCACCCCGGGCATCTTCCAGAGCCGCCAGACCTCAGACGACGGGCCCGTTTTCCATCACCACGACCATAAGTTCGAGGGGGGAAGGTTATGGAGGACGAGGAGGAGGAGGAGGAGGAGGAGGAGGAGGAGGAGGAGGAGGAGGAGGACGAGGAGAGAGGAGGAGGATAGGAGGAGGAGGAGGAGGAGGACCCCCTCCCCCTCCAGCGTATGGTGGTGGTGGTGGAAAACAGGCCCATCATCAGAGGACCCCGAGTTTTCCTTTTCCGAGTTTGTCCCTGTCCTGGCCTCGTCTTGATGCGTGGGGAGGCTCGCTGGCAGGCCGACACCTCGGGCGAGGTGGCGTGGATCGCCTGTGCGGAGGCTTCCGCGCCTCGCGCTCCGCGGCCTGGGCCAAGGCTGCTGCACTTCTCCTCCTCCGCCTCCTCCTCCTCCGTTTTCCCTCCGCCTCCTCCTCCTCCTCCTCCTCCTCCTCCTCCTCCTCCTCCCTCCCTCCTCCTCCTCCTCCTCCTCCTCCTCCTCCTCCTCCTCCTCCTCCTCCTCCTCCTCCTCTCTTCCTCCTCCTCCTTCTCCAGCGGCGGCCTCGCGAGCGCGTGGAGATGATCGCGCACCACACGCGTTGCGCCCTCCAGTGATATGCAGGAGCCCGGGCTTGGCGTGCCGCGCCGCCGATTCTGGCCCACCGCGCTTCGGTGCGACACGTCGGCTACGCGTGAGAGTGGCCCCCCGCTGGAGTGACCTTGGGTTCAGAGGAGGAACCTCAGGTGCCCATACCGCTACCCTTCTCCCGTCTTCCTTTTTTGGGGCCTCCTGGGAGGCCCGCGTCGTCACCGTTGGATTCGCCTCGAAATCCTGGTCAGAACGCACCCCGGGAGAGCTCCAGGGAGTGGCGGTATCGGTACCTTTCGGTTTCCCCATGTGCGCGGGCCCACAGGAATCCCGCCAGCACTGGCCAGCGTGCCTGGACTGCGTTGGTTTGGTCTCCCCCGCGCCCCCGTGAAGCCGCGCACCACAAGTCACTGTTGCCTAGGATCACTCCTGCGGGCTTGGCTGCCCTGGTACGCACGTTTTGAAACGCAGCACGTGCCGTGTTCAAGACGTCCGTGTCAATACGTTGCGTGCTGGCTCAACGTATTGGCCCACTTTTTGGCGAACGTATCGCGACAGACCTACGTTTTCAGCCTACGTGTTGAGCTCCGCATCGATACGCTACGTGTTGCGTGTTGCGTATCGGGGCAGCTGGGACACGCTGACCACGCCTCAGTTCCCAAGCGTCGACGCGTCGAGCAGCTCCCCGCCTCTCTCCCCAGCGGAGCGGAGCGACACGCTGATTATCCGCCTGCCAGGCACAGCGCGTTGCTGGGGCCGCCGCTGCGAAATGCTAGGCGCACTTTCCCGAGCGTATTGCACTTGGCGCGAAGCCGGGCGACCCCAGACAGGAATCTTTTCGATGCCTCCGATTCGGCTCGATTCGATTTCGATGGCTGCCGGTTTCGATTCGATTCGACTGATTCGGATTTGGGAAAGAGCGGGTTTTGTGGATGCTGGGAGGGGGATGGGGGGGAGAATTCGAACCCGCCCCCCCCCCTCCTTGAGATGCAAGGGGGGGAGGTTCGAACCGGATTCCCCTCCCCCTGTAAAGGAGGGGTGGTTGGAATTGGCCCCTCCCTTCTGAGTTGCAAGGGAGGGGGGGGTTTTCGAAACGCAACCCCCCTCTGTCTAAGAGGGGGGCGTTTTCGAAACGCCCCCCCCCCTCTGTCCAAGGGGGGGAGGTTCGAACTGCCCCCCCCCTCGAGTTGCAGGGGGGGGGGTTCGTCAGAGCCCCGAATCATCAGGGGTAACTCGGGTCAGGGATAACTCGGGTTCGTTTTTCGGGAATCCAAACCCGAGTTACCCCGGAC